AGGTACCTTAAATAGATGTTCTCCATTCAATCCGGTCAGTCAGACTTTCTCCTTTAAACTTCCTCCTGCACAATCTTGTCCGGTCGGGTTCTTCTTTGAGGTGGCTATTTCTGACCACCGCTGCAACTGCCTTTGGGAAAAGGAGTAATGGCCAGCCGAGGAGGAGAGATGCGGCTCTCCTCAACCCTGCTGACGGCTCCCCCTTCTTCACCACCTCTACAGGGTGGCTTCAGCCCTGAATCCGGGTGGCTCGGGGCACTCCAGCGGCAAGCACAGATCAAAACCACGGACGATCATGATTTCAGTCCGTCACCGAAGAAGCCCAAACCAGAAGTCCCCATCCAAGATTCTTTCTTTATAGTACCTAATGTATTGATAACCTATGGGAAGATTGTGGGCAGTTTATGCCATAATCTTTCAACTTTAATTTTCAGATGGTGATACATTGTGATCTTTTCCAAATCTATGTCTTCTATTCAATTATTTCCTGGTATTGCCACATCAATATTCACAGTCTCTTGATTTCCAACCACAGTCAAAACTGATGTGTTCTCAACCAAGATTTTATCAGTTTATATTTGGAAATCCCATAATACTTTTGTTGTGTCCCTGACTAGCTAAGTCTTCAACCTGGTCCGCATTTTGAGCGGGACCATCTTACTGTTCCCATTGGTTGGTGCCGTTTGACAGCAGACTATATAAGGAGCTGTCAAACGGCATCAGCTGTGGGCAGTTGGGGCTCCGGCTCCAGCCAGCCGGCTGCCAGCCCAGCTGGGCAGCCACGTTAATCTGTTACTGCTTCAAATAAAGAAACGTTATTCTTCAGCTCCTGTGTCTGCCTGGTGTGTCCGTCCAGACCAATACAACAACTTTAACTTGCTGTATTGGTTCCAGTCTATTTAAAGTCCATTCATTAACAATGCAGGAACCTAAAATGTCATAGTTTTTTAACGTAGCTTAGCATTTGTCTTTTACAAGTAAATAATATATCAATCTGTAAACCATAGTTCTATTTTCATTTGATTATGTCTTCTCTTTGAAAGGGCATGGTATGTTCATGCTACAAGTTGATTTTTGTTTTGTTTCAAGGAACATGGTGATTTGATCATGGCATAGTGGAATTTTAACGAAGTGTGAGTCTCCTTGGCATCTGTGTAGAAATAAATGCAAATTGTTTTTCCATGCGCCACTCTCACAGATTCTTTAGCAAGATTCATTTTAAAAAGGATGGAATTACAAGAATTCCGCCAACTAAATGGTTTTCCTTCTACAACCAATATATCCCAAAGTACATGAGAGCAACCTTTATCATTTTCTTTTTTTAAAAAAACTCCTTTTCTCTGGGTGGGTAAACAAAAAAATTATTTATGGATTACAAAGGAGTTTGCAGATTGATTAGGAGTAAGAAAATAATGTGTGTATTATTTTATAATGTGTGTATCAATCTTGGATTAACCTCCAATTAAAGAAAGAAGTGGCTTGATTTGGATTTAAGGACCAAGACATTATCGGTCTGTGAAAGAGCTGGTAGTAGATCTTTGACATTTTAGTATTTAAGTAATCCAGGCTTCAGATATGTAATTTTAAGAATCATCTCTTTGGAGAGAAGCTGGCTGTTAATATTATTTTTGCGAAAATCTTGATTTCTCTAGGGTTCCACACCATTTTTTGTCAGTGCTACAGCTGGTACCACCGTTTTGGGAGCATTTGATCCTTTGAATGATATTGCTGACATATGTGAAAAACACAATCTTTGGCTGCATGTTGATGTAAGTTAATTTTAATAACAGTGGACTTTTTTTCATTTATTCTCATACTTCTTTTTCTTGCAGAAATATTTTCACATTCATTAGGATGCTGAAAGAGTTGGGCAATATTTTCTGATAAAATTAATGGAGAGCACTGTTTTGGTGGAAATATAATGACTTTAGGCAAAGCTGTCCAATGTGTAAAATTTTCCATCCCAAGACTAAGAATATAGCTGTTATACAGTATGCTTTGGTTTATCAATTTTATCACCTTCCTTACTTTAATTATTTATAAATGTTTCATATTTTGTGAAAGATTATGTTGGCTTTAGCATTTTTCTAATATAGCCTTTCTAAAACAGACACCTATCAACTATGCTTGAAGACAGAATTTCTTTTGATGCCAGTTTACATTCGACTACATTTAACCCTACAAAAGCTTTTCTAATCTGGGGAATCCCTCTTCCTCCCATTCTTCTTTTTTCCATCTTCTTTCTTTCAAAAAAAATAATAATTCCAAGATTTTAGCAACCCCACGTTTTCACCAAAGGTTGCAATTTGTTATAGTGATTGAAGTTGGTCATTTCTTTATTTGTTATTTACATTTATAAAAACAACTTGTTTTTATACTGCTCCAATCAATCAACCAACTCTGGTAATGATACAAGGTAAAATAAACAACCCATAATACAATTAATGTTATTCTGTATTTTAAACAATGCTTATTTACAGGTACTAGGAAGGTATTATTCAAGATTGCCAATGAAGTGGGAGGGAGAGATTGTCCTTGAGCAGCACAGATCCTCTTATTATCTCATATGCACAAATAGAAAGAAAAAGAAAAGAAATAACTGATCCTCTATTTCCATCTACAAGGCAGCTTATAAAAACTAAAAAGAATTCATAAAGCACACAAGGGATTTGCATGTAGAGCCTCTTCAGAATGAACTCTTGTCAATGTCACCTGTTTCTCTTCTGCCTGAGCTATTGTGTTGGTAGGAACCGTTTCCAGTTTGATCATTTGTTTCTTCCTCTTAGGAGAAGAATGTCTGCTGTTAATGAAGTAATGAACATGGTTAAAATCTCCAAACTATGTTCTCAGAAGCCAAACACGAGGCTGATTAATTGGATCACTGATCTTAGCCCACTGTGGCAATTATTAGAGATGTCATTATCTTACTGTTTAATGGGGATTGAGTTATTTCAGATGATTATCTAGAATTATTCTTAGATTTCAATAACAGCTATTTTCATTTATGAAAACTCTATGGAATTGTTTTTGGTTAGTGTTAGTTTAGTTTAGACAGAGTCTAAACTGGTTGGGTACATTTCCACTTACACAGGAGAATGATTGAAAAATCATTCCCTTCATACAATTTATGTTAATTTGTGGAAATCAAAGTAAGCGAGATTAATATATAAAGGTTTTATGAAATAGATCCTATTATACACTGCTCAAAAAAATAAAGGGAACACTTAAACAACACAATGGAACTCCAAGTCAATCATACTTCTGTGAAATCAAACTGTCCACTTAGGTAGCAACACTGATTGACAATCAATTTCACATGCTGTTGTGCAAATGGAATAGACAACAGGTGGAAAGCATAGGCAGTTAGCAAGACATCCCCAATAATGGAGTGGTTCTGCAGGTGGTGATCACAGACCACTTCTCAGTTCCTATGCTTTCTGGCTGATGGTTTGGTCACTTTTGAATGCTGGCGGTGCTTTCACTTTAGTGGTAGCATGAGACGGAGTCTACAACCCACACAAATGGCTCAGGTAGTGCAGCTCATCCAGGATGGCACATCAATGCGACCTATGGCAAGAAGGTTTGCTGTGTCTGTCAGCGTAGTGTCCAGAGCATGGAGGCGCTACCAGGAGACAGGCCAGTACATCAGGAGACGTGGAGGAGGCCATAGGAGGGCAACAACCCAGCATCAGGACTGCTACCTCCACCTTTGTGCAAGGAGGGACAGGAGGAGCACTGCCAGAGTCCTGCAAAATGACTTCCAACGGGCCACAAATGTGCATGTGGCTACTCGAACGGTCAGAAACAGACTCCATGAGGGTGATATGAGGGCCCGACGTCCACAGGTGGGGGTTGTGCTTACAGCCCAACACTGTGCAGGATGTTTGGCATTTGCCAGAGAACACCAAGATTGGCAAATTCGCTACTGGTGCCCTGTGCTCTTCACAGATGAAAGCAGGTTCACACTGAGAACATGTGACAGACATGACAGGGTGTGGAGACACCGTGGAGAATGTTCTGCTGCCTGAAACATCCTCCTGCATGACCGGTTTGGCAATGGGTCAGTAATGGTGTGAGGTGGCATTTCTTTAGGGAGCCGCACAGCCCTCCATGTGCTTGCCAGAGGTAGCCTGACTGGAATTAGGTACCGAGATAAGATCCTAAGACCCCTTGTGAGACCATATGCTGGTGCGTTTGGCCCTACCTAATGCATGATAATGCTAGACCTCATGTGGCCGGAGTGTGTCAGCAGTTCCTGCAAGACGAAGGCATTGATGCTATGGACTGGCCCGCCCATTCCTGTTATAAAGACTTATCCAAAGTTAAACATACAAAAATATGTAAAATGCTTTACAGATACAAGCTGTAAGCTACCTCCACTGTAATTTATTATTCTTCCATTCTAGCTTTCGGAGAAGAAGCTAGATAAAATGTGCTAAATCTGTAATGGCTAGAGACAGATTCAAATCACCAATAGGATGTTATTTATCATCCATTTGAAACAAAATGTCAGCACAACTTATTAACTGAACAATACCATTTGAATGGACTCTATATAATCCACACTAAATTCAGTAGAATTTTTTCTAGATGTTAAAGAATTGTAAATTAGTTTTTACTGAAATTTATATTTGTAGATTTGTATTTCTATATTTAGCATGCATTTTAGGCAGCAGGCAATTTAGGTATGATAAAAAGTTATTAGATGTGTTGTTTTTTTCTTGGTACTTGACAGAGATACTAATGTTGGAGAATGACATCATGTGAGACTATATCTTTAAGAGATAGAAACCTCTGGCTTGCCAGATGTTGTTAAATGACAACTCTAATTTCCTTTGCCATTGGGTTTTGTCACTCAACAACTTTTTGTAGGATCAAAATGCTTCTTGCTCTATTTTAAGACTTCTATCAGAAAATATGATTGTTCTTAGAAACTTGTTCATAAATATATAACGTTTATTCACGCAGAAATTTAAAATAGTTTCTCCTCTTCCAAAATTTTAACATTTTTAATCTATTCTCCTGATCCCTACAATTCTTAGATTTCCTTACCTTGGCCATGTTGCAAGTCTCCTTGTAGTTTAGCTCTTTTTTATCTTTAACCGTAACCTCTTCCTGTTAATTTACATAATTTGCCATGTAAAGATTCCCTCTAGTTCCATGCATTCTTTCTCTTTCCTAGTTTCTTGTTTACAGATTATTAGCACCAAATTCCTATTTGATGATGGTTGTGGTGCATTGATGATGTTACCTAGTTTTCATTAATAATGAAATGTCTCAATATAACAAACAAGTTCAAGTGCAGCAAAACCCTTCTTAGTATCACTCTACTTTTTTATTTCTTTGTCTGTCTGTCTGTCTGTCTGTCTGTCTGTCTGTCTGTCTGTCTGT